TTTACTTTGCAACATTATGTACCAGTGTCAGAGCTCTTCACAGAAAGGAACATTGAATGTATATATGTATATATATATATATATATATATATATATATATATATATATAGCAGGTTTTCCCGACGTTTTGTTGTTCTCCAAAGAACTCTTTCAAGGGAATGGACGCTCGGCTGTGAGCTTACACAAACCATACACTATACAAATATATATATACACAGATAAGGAACCGTGTTCCGAGCCACACAGCATGGACCCAAACAAAATAGGACTCATCGAGAAAGTTACGGAGTGCAGCTCTAAGATTCATTTGTAAATGTGTCACTGAAATAATGCAGCAGCAAAAGCTTTAGTAAGATCTAAAATGCAATTAAAACTGTAACTAAATAAAGGTTCAAGCTGGAGTGCATTTCTTTTTTTTCATAAATAGATTGTTTTTTCCAACAAAAAATGTCCTGTAACATTTTGTGAACAAATCAGACCACAGCCTGCTGTCTCCACCAGAACATGAAATGATTGAGTGGCTAAGTGATAGATTTTAACAGATTTTTATTGTTTTGACAGCGAGGAACTAATTACATGGATTTTACTACATAGTTATTTTCTCGTGGTTTCAAAGTTAGATACCCCAGTTTTGTATAATTCAGGAGTAAAACTAAAATCTAAGTTTACCGGCATTATTGGTTTGGACTTGTGTTTTTTTCTTGACCTGCACAAGAGTGGGTGGGCTAGAGGTAAAGTGCAGTTTACTATGTTGCAAGTAAAGATGGATATCAGGGGAGAGATGTAAGTGGTAAATGAAAGATACCCCTCATGCCTGGGTCCCGAAACGTCTCACACTGCTTCTACTGCTCCAGTGTGGCTGGCAGTGATTACCTATGATTCACTTTAGCGGCGCATAGAAGCAGCTTGTAAAAATATGAACGTATAAATGTTTCCTGAAAGCGGCTCTCTGGGGAACACACGGTCCTCCTGCGCTGGAAATAAGCCAAGACTTAGATTAGGCACAGTATGGTCCTCCCAGTATGGTCCTCCCAGTATAGTCCTGCCAGTATGGGCCTGCCAGTATAGTCCTGCCAGTATAGTCCTGCCAGTATGGTCCTGCCAGTATGGTCCTCCCAGTATGGTCCTCCCAGTATAGTCCTGCCAGTATAGTCCTGCCAGTATAGTCCTGCCAGTATAGTCCTGCCAGTATGGTCCTCCCAGTATGGTCCTCCCAGTATGGTCCTCCCAGTATAGTCCTCCCAGTATAGTCCTGCCAGTATAGTCCTGCCAGTATAGTCCTGCCAGTATAGTCCTGCCAGTATAGTCCTGCCAGTATAGTCCTGCCAGTATAGTCCTGCCAGTATAGTCCTGCCAGTATGGGCCTGTGCATGTCCGAGGTGCTGCCGTCCTTCAGGGAGGGAAGCAATGTGGAATTCTCCTGTGGGAAACCCAAAAAGCCATCAACGATAATTAAAAAGAGATTTGAAATGTAACTTTCTACTAACTTGCAACAGTAGCCCGATTTGTTTATCTGTCCAGGGTTTTTTCTGTCTCTCCTAAAGCTGGGAAAACAACTTTGGCAATATCAAAACATGCAACTAGAACTTTCCTGGTTCTAAAACAGTTTGGTTCAATCACTTATTTTGACATGTCTTTTTTTTTGCGTCGGTCACATCTTTTGATCATCTTTTTCAACAAAAGAAGTTGGAAAAAAAAATCAGCTATGCAAGTGTGCAAAGCATAACATGTTTTCAAATATTATGTAGTGGTCTGACAGTATCGTTGGACCAGGCTCTCTCTGTTGAGGCAAACTATTTAGATTATTTATGGAAAAGAAAAGTTAGGGTTAGCTTATTGGCCAGACACCCAATCGTCTAGACAAGTTGAATCTGTCTTAAAGTAAACCCTTTTAGATAGATAGATAGATATATACTTTATTGATCCAAAAATGAAATTGTGTATTGGTCCCTTGCTCGAAATTATACAAACATACAAACATAGGATCGATATAAAACATCTAAAAAAGACAATAAAATACATTAAAATCATTAAAAGAGAAGTTAAGGCACTGCAAGACAATTCTTTCCTCCCCCCCTGCTCCTCCCTAAAGTGGCTTTGTTGAAGAGCCTGATGGCGTTGGGGACCAAAGAGTTTTGATCCTGTCCTTGGAGCACCTCAGAGAGAGGAGTCTGGAGCTCATGGTGCTTCTCTGGCAGGAAAAAAATGAATTTAGGGGGTGGCTCTGGTTGGACAAGATGGCCCAGATCTTAGAGAGCGTTCTTTGCTCCACCACCTCCTCCACTGAATCCAGACCCAGACTCACCACAGAGCCCGCCTTCCGCCTTTTGAAGAACATGCAAGAATAATCTAAGGAGCCTAGAGGTCAAGAGAGACCTTTCATCCTCCGCTGGTGCTTCCTCTGAATGACTTTACTCGGATTGGACTCAATAGGGCGCAACAGAGTTATCTTGGCAAAAATACGGTTGCGATAAGATGTCTGTCCTGCTTGGAGTGGACGATGACTTTAATTGGACATTGTGGACTTAGAAGTATCAACAGCCAGGGTACATAATACTAACGAGAATACACACCATTAATGTGTTTTATTTTGAATTCTGCCCTAGTCTTGTGTTTGTGTGTTTTTATGTTCATTAAAAAAATATTCAATACATAAATCTAATCACTATCAAAACAGGATCTGTGAAAACATTGTGTATTTCAAAAGTAGCTTATTTCTCATCCAACTGAAATAGAATTCTACAACTAAATAATAATAAAAAATGATAAATAATACGTCGTTATCGCTTTTCAAAAACTCATTTCACAATTCAGGACACACACACATACACATCAGACAGAAACACAAAACTAAAAAACTAAAAGAAGGGAAGAAGAGTACTAAGTAAGTAAGTAATGTTTATTTATATAGCGCATTTTACAGCCCAAGGTCACCCAAAGCGCTTTACAATGTTCAGAGTCAGATATTGTTCCAATCCTTCCACACACGGTGATGACAGAAGCGAAGAACACACTGGACCATCAGCTCCAACACCATCCATTCACTCTCTCATTACATTCAGACCTATAGTGCATGTTTTTAGTGGTAGGGGAAACTGGAGCACCTGGAGGAAACCTACGCAGACAGGGGGAGAACATGCAAACTCCACTCAGAAAGGCCCTGTTCCGACCGAGATTCAAACCCAGGACCTTCTTGCTGAGAAGCGAGAGTGCTATCCACTCCGCCACCGTGCCGCCCACTACTAAGCTAAAATTAAGAGTCATATGCTTGGAGAAAGATCCTATGGCCTTGTTAAAGATACTAGATCAAAGATTAGGAAACACATGGGATAAACAAAAAAATGAAAACTTAATGTTACTAGACACTTTATAGCTACTGCTTGGTTCATTATAAACTGGGTCTCATCACGACACACACCTTTACAACATCAAAAGTGAACGTTTGTCTACAGTACGCTTATATAGTAAGCCTTTTGGACCCCTGCTGAGTCCACTCTGGTCCACTGGATCTGTGCAGCAGCTCCTTGTCATCACTTTTATATAGCACTTACTGCAAACCATATGCTTCCAGGGCACCAAACTTTATGTGTTGGCATTCCTCATTTGCAGTCTTAAGCGTGCACTAAGAGTAAACCATTTTGATTACTGATTGGCAAGTTTTAAAAGTCGGCTTGCCTATCTCTTAAAAAACCTGGACCACAATCCCACTTACCGTGTCGTGCGTAACATGAATTTATTGAATCATTTTGTGCACATTGTTAGCGTTTATATTTAAGTTTTTGCTATCTTAATAAATCCCAGATGGTCCCCAGGGTTTCTGCGCCAGTTTAATAAAAGTGAACTCTCAACGGTAAAACAAATTTCAGAATGTGATATTGTTGCACATTGCCGTTAGTGCAGTGTAATTGGCCTTGGCTTCTGCGGGCGCTGCTCAAGATGCTGACACAGACCAAAACTTGCATTCAGAGAAAATGGCATATTCCTTATGTCTCATGGATGCATAAGTAAGTGAGTAATGAACGCATAGGGCCATAAAGCACTCACAGGATTACAGCCCTGACCCTGCTATTCCTACATGTATCTTAATAAAAGTTAGATTCAATCTTGCAAGGCATATATCAAAATCTCAATCTTGAATGCAAAAAACAATCAAAACAGATTGGTGAAAGCCTGCTTAAAAAATATGGAAGGAATAATAAAATTAGCATTGCAATTATACAATGGATGTTATAAAAATAAAAATAATGCACTGATTTCAAACAACTTTCAGAAAAATACATAATATAACATTAGTGGAATAATAACATAATTATATCTGGCAGGGCGGGTTTACTACTGGAACACATTACACGTTTGACATAAAAATCCACAAATTGACTATGGTGGGCCCCGGGGCCTCAGCCACTGCTGGCCCTTTGTATTCACACCAACGTGCAATAGTGTGTATGTCCCATGGATGCATGTCTCCAAAGAACCACTGCGTAAAATGGCTTTATCAAACTTGAAAATAGGATCCATGCAGTGCAAGATAATTGTAGCTCTTATAATGTAGCATAAACCACATTTTAAGAATCAGTGGTTGTAATTGTAAACATCTCTACGGTACAGGCGTTTCTTTATGGTGCTTTTCCTATGTGTGCGCGCATGTGGGCGCGAGTTCCACTTGAATGCCACTCTTGTGTTTGTTGACTTTAGATCATAATGTGTGGTGAGAGGACGATTATGTGTGGGCAGCCTGAGTTTCCACACGCCTGGCTCATTTCTTGTGTCTTTAAGATCGGTGGCTGTGCGGCCTGCTGGAGAGTGTGGTTAGAGGGGCGCATGGAGCTTCCACTTTGATTTGGCTCGCAGAAGCAGGAGTCGCATTATTGAGTTTCTAAACTAACTGAGCGTATGTGTGTGTGTGTGTGTGTGTGTGTGTGTGTGTGTGTGTGTGTGTGTGTGTGTGTGTGTGTGTGTGTGTGTGTGTGTGTGTGTGCGTGTGCGTGTTGCTTCCACAGGGTGTCAGGGCCGCTCCTGTCTCCTGGGATCAAGAACACAGGGACGCCCCCCTCTCCCCTGGACAAACACCACATGCACCCACAGCACAAGCCCTACAGCCACTACTCGCTGCAGCCGCCCAATGACGGTGAGACAGACAGAACAATAACAAGAACACGCTTCACTCTCCAACAGGAAATGTGTTCAAGTCCAAGGACCAGACATTGTGTATGTACTGGTGTTTCAGTTTAATACCCTGCCTCTTCAACATGACAGGTGAGGCAGCTCGCCCTCTGTCTTAGTTTTAAAAGTTGGCACAGAGCTAAAATTGGTGCTGCCATTTTTAGCAACTCAGGCACATCACACATCTGCATGCGCAAAGGCACATGAAAGGCTGCAAGAGGAAGTCGTCCCGTAGAGCAGTGCGCCCTGTGGCTTTGTCAGGACAAAGATGTGTCGTACAGACACAGAGTAAAGGAAACCGCCGCAGGAAGCCCTTTCCCTTCAGCTGGTTTAGTCAAAACGCTGGCTCATGTTTTCAGTGGTCTCGCAGTTCTAACACAGCAGGCTCGGCTGTCACTCCAGAGCATTTCTAATGTTTTTAACAGAGCTCCCTCTGTAAAGAGCTACACTTGGACGTTTGTGCAACTGCTGTGTGGTCAGAGATGCAAAAACACGACAGGAAAAGCTGCTCTCCATAATGATAATGGGGTCTCCTGTGGTCAATCTCAGAGTGCACATTATGAGCCTCATGAATACTGTGGGTAGTCTTCATCACTAACATTTGTACAAACTGTGATCAGTAAAAGTTCAACTTTTAGTAATACACAATAATGTTCTGGCTCTAGAGTACCAGGGCAATTTCCAGAGCTGCTTCCATTTCGGAGACTCCTACAGGCTGGATCAGACGATCAGCAGCGTCCAGATCCCTGGGGATTCCCACAACTACAGCGGCCATCAGCAAAATGGCTTCCACATGTCAACGGGAAACTTAGGAGCAGGTGAGGACAGGCTGACGCGGATCCTCGTGTTAATATGTCATCAACATAAACCGTTGTCTTCTAGGCTTCAACATGGGCCAGGAGCTCCAGGGAGGGGCAGGATGCCAGTTCTCCTCCGGCCCAGATGAGAGCATCTTCTTCCAGGTGGGAAGCTTCGAGCGCAGCCTGAACCACATGCCCTCTGTCTACACAGAGACATGAGGACTCATGTTTCATTCACTCTGGTGACTCAGAATGGCTCCTGGGATCAAACTCGTGCAGTCGAAAATCAAAACATGCACTTTCACAATGACATGATGAAAAACAATAGTTACTAAGGACAACAAGAGAGACACACATGCACAAATGCATTGCACAAATTGAAACAAACTGTGTTTATTAAAATGTTTGAAATAGCATTAAATAAGTGGAAAAAGCAGCACTGATTTCACTGCAGGGTTAACCTCTGCTTTTATCATTAACAGAAAAGACAGATCATGATTTAACCACAGTGTTGTTACTGGTACATAGCTCTCTCTCAAACCCACGACCTCCTGTTTCTTGGACTGAAGTGTAAGAAATTATATCAACTTTGCTGTGTTGTTTTAACGGTGAAAAGTTTATTTTATTTTTGTTTTCAGTGGAGGCTTTGGGACAATGAGTCTTTTTGGTGCAAAAAAGGCACCTTTAATATATATGTATAATATGTACAGTTTGTTTACAACACCCTGAATGTTTCTCGAATTACAAAATAAAATATTTAAACAGTGTATGTTTTACTTCAGATTGCTGGTGACTGCTGCCCTCTAGTGGTCCTGTACCAGACTGCAGAGTCAGTTTCATCTCTGCTTCTTCTGGTTGAGGTAGCTCTGATAGTAGAAGTTACTGAAGAGGATAATAAGGGTGATGCAGTACCCAAACACCACAATATTCATACTGTCCGGAAAGTCACAGTCTGTGAACAGGTTGTAGCCCGTGTGCAAGAGGAACAAGCAGAACTGCGTCTAGAATGAACACAGATGATACATTATATTTTCATTCAACTGATTGATGCTGACTGAGGCGACTGACCAGCTGCAGGGAGGTCAGATATTTCTTCCACCATAGATACTTCTGCATGTGAGGTCCAATGGCAGCCAGACCATAGTACGAATACATGATTATATGCACAAAAGTGTTGACGAGGCCGATGAAAAAAGCTGTGGGAAAACAGGTCATTTAAAATCAAAATACCATAAATTCCATAAATGCATCATCCTCCAATAGTTGTTTTGGAGGAATGTAAATGTTCCATAATACAGTATAAATCGTTTTTAATTAAAATAAATAATTGAAGAACTACTGTCTCAATAAATTAGAGCAGGGGTCTCCAACCTGTGGCTCGGGAACTACCAGTAGCTCTCCACCCTGTTTCTGGTAGCTCCCCAAAGAATTCAAGAATTTAATAAACGATCCTGAATGATTCACTTTTTAATCTATTTTATGTATAAAGGTCTTCATTTTTGCCATGATACTGAACTGCACTGGTGTATGAGGCGTGTGTGTTCTGTAGTTATTAATAAGAGTACAATTGTATTACACCATTTCTGTTTTATAGAAGTAGCTCTCCAACTGAAAAAGGTTGGAGACCCCTGTATTAGAGTAAAGACACGTACACTGTCCTCCAGCCACGTACTTGACCCCAGCCCACCAGTTGAAGATCATGGAGCCGTGGTGGTAGACATGAAGAAAAGTCAGCTGGTTATTCTTTTTTCTCAAAATGAAAAAGATCTGGGGATGACAACACTTGGATATAATTTGTCAAACTAACGTGAGTAATGGGTTTAATTATATTTACAAAGTACCGTGTCAATGAGCTCGATGACTTTAGAGAAGAAAAACCACCAGCACACTCGGGCCATCTACACATAAAGAAGGGAGTACGTTTAATATGCACTTTGTGTTCTGATAAAATAATTACAATTACTATGCAACATTTGTTTCCAGAATCTTCCAGTCGGTGACGCATGTACCTTGTAAGCACTGATTACAGATGCAAACCACTTGCTGGGGTTTAGCTAACTTCACCAAACGAACTGGCAACCCACAGGGCCCATCTGTTACATATATTTTATGGACATAATTTTTTGTCCAGAAAAGATCAAATATGATTTGCACATGTGACCTGTTATCTGAGGACACATGTAAAAGATGTAGACGTAACCTAAAATTAACATATAACAATTTTCTTTTTTTTTTATTAGAAATGAAGTGACACGTTAGAAAATGCTCCAATGCCTTGAGGATTTTTTCATGTGCATAATTTTACTTCCTAGTAAGTGTGACTTTTTTTTGGAAAGATGCGCTGGGAAACGGCTGCAAGTCCTAAGTAGCTCTGAAACAGTTGTTGTTTGGTGCTTAACAATTTTTATTTTTATTGTTTTGAGATGTTGCTGCAGTACAGTGTTCATGGTTTTACACTGGTCCAGACCAGAGCGGAGAGGATTCATGGTCCAAACCAAGCAGATCAGCCAAAAATCCACTGGAGGATTAAATGCTAATGAAGCATTTAGCATTTTACTTTGGACTAGAGCAGAGAAAATGGTCCGAACCAAGCGGCTACTCCACCTTGTGACCGTCCTGCTCCACCCAGAGGCTACTCCACCTCTGCTGCTGTGACCCGTCCTGCTCCACCCAGAGGCTACTCCACCTTGTGACCCGTCCTGCTCCACCCAGAGGCTACTCCACCTCTGCTGCTGTGACCCGTCCTGCTCCACCCAGAGGCTACTCCACCTCTGCTGCTGTGATCCGTCCTGCTCCACCCAGAGGCTACTCCACCCAGAGGCTACTCCACCTCTGCTGCTGTGACCTGTTGCTGATTATTACTATTGTTAGCTTTTTAGAATGATCAATTTTATCCGTATTTTTGCTGCTACTGGACACCTGAATTTCTCCTACGGGGATCAATAAAGTATCTATCTATCTATCTACATCACAACATTCCAGAGTCTATTAAAAATGATGGTGAGGGCAGCTGACATTGCTGGTAACTATGGTGTCATAAGTCAGACAGACGGGTATCTTTGTTAGTACATACTGTATGAACTGTGGCCTATGTATTTTTCTCCATATGTGTGTGTGTGAAGAGGGACGTTTGGGTGTCTGCTCAGACCATAGCTCAGACTGCTGCCTCTGCGATAACAAAGAGACATCATACACCTTATAACACTTAACTTACCCTCATTGCAAGTGGATGTGTGCTATAATCCACAGGTTGGCAAAGGAGACTGTAGTTAGAGAGCCAAGAAGTAACCAAGAACTGCAACCAAGAAAGTGTCGTCAAAATAAACACAAGATGAATGTTATGTTCGTTCTACTCATGCATCTTACCTCTTTAAACATGTACACAGAGAGGCAAACCATGGCAAAGTTGTAAACGATGAGGACAAGTTTGAGCTCAATGGGTTGTTTGTGTTTCATGAGTTTGGGACCAGCCCAGACCACCGAGAGGTAGAGCACGAAGATGAGAGCCACAGGGAGCGGGGAGTAGACCAGCAGCCAGGGGTCCGTCCTTTTGTCTGTGACATCATCAAGCCAAACGGTTTTACTGAACACTTAATACTTTTGTTGTTGGTGACATCAGAGCATCTTATTTGAAATTTAGTTGAATTTTGTTTTCATTAATATTGAAATAACATTCTGGCCCAGCTGGTAGTGAATATGTTTGTTTGACTTAGAGGCAATGTCACACAAAATGTAATAATCTCAGAATTACCATACTATAGGATGTAAAAATGTCATGCCTGGTATAACTTCCACATTGCATTTAGGGCCAATGATTACTATTCAAAATTAGGCATTACATAAGTAAGTAATGTTTATTTATATAGCGCATTTTACAGACCAAGGTCACCCAAAGCGCTTTACAATGTTCAGAATCAGATATTGTTCCAATCCTTTCACGGTGATGACAGAAGCGCGTCCAGAACACACTGGACCATCAGCTCCAACACCATCCATTCACTCTCTCATTTACAGTGCCTTGCGAAAGTATTCGGCCCCCTTGAACCTTTCAAAATGTTGCCACATTTCAGGCTTCAAACATAAAGATATAGCAAAAATATTTTTTTTGTCAAGAATCAACAACAAGTGGGACACAATCGTGAAGTGGGACGAAATGTATTGGATAATTTAAACTTTTTTAACAAATAAAAAACTTAAAAGTGGGGCGTGCAATATTATTCGCCCCCTTGCGCTAATACTTTGTAGCGCCACCTTTTGCTGCAATTACAGCTGCAAGTCGCTTGGGGTATGTCTCTATCAGTTTTGCACATCGAGAGACTGGAATTCTTGCCCGTTCTTCCTTGCAAAACAGCTGGAGCTCAGTGAGGTTGGATGGAGAGCGTTTGTGAACAGCAGCTCTTTCCACAGATTCTCGATTGGATTCAGGTCTGGACTTTGACTTGGCCATTCTAACACCTGGATACGTCTATTTGTGAACCATTCCATTGTAGATTTGGCTTTATGTTTTGGATCATTGTCCTGTTGGAAGATAAATCTCCGTCTCAGTCTCAGGTCTTTTGCAGACTCCAACAGGTTTTCTTCCAGAATGGTCCTGTATTTGGCTCCATCCATCTTCCCATCAATTTTAGCCATCTTCCCTGTCCCTGCTGAAGAAAAGCAGGCCCAAACCATGATGCTGCCACCACCATGTTTGACAGTGGGGATGGTGTGTTCAGGGTGATGAGCTGTGTTGCTTTTACGCCAAACATATCGTTTTGCATTGTGGCCAAAAAGTTCGATTTTGGTTTCATTTGACCAGAGCACCTTCTTCCACATGTTTGGTGTGTCTCCCAGGTGGCTTGTGGCAAACTTTAAACAAGACTTTTTATGGATATCTTTGAGAAATGGCCACTCTTCCATAAAGGCTAGATTTGTGCAGTGCACGACTGATTGTTGTCCTATGGACAGACTCTCCCACCTCAGCTGTAGTTATCTGCAGTTCATCCAGAGGGATCATGGGCCTCTTGACTGCATCTCTGATCAGTCTTCTCCTTGTTTGAGATGAAAGTTTGGAGGGACGGCCAGGTCTTGGTAGATTTGCAGTGGTCTGATACTCTTTCCATTTCAATATAATTGCTGTCACAGTGCTCCTCGAGATGTTTAAAGCTTGGGAAATCTTTTTGTATCCAAATCCGGCTTTAAACTTCTCCACAACAGTATCTCGGACCTGGCTGGTGTGTTCCTTTGTCTTCATGGTTCTCTCTGCGTTTTAAACAGAACCCTGAGACTATCAAAGAGCAGGTGCATTTATACGGAGACTTGATTACACACAGGTGCATTCTATTTATCATCATCAGTCATTTAGGACAACATTGGATCATTCAAAGATCCTCACTGAACTTCTGGACTGAGTTTGCTGCACTGAAAGTAAAGGGGCCGAATAATATTGCACGCCCCACTTTTCAGTTTTTTATTTGTTAAAAAAGTTTAAATTATCCAATAAATTTTGTTCCACTTCACGATTGTGTCCCACTTGTTGTTGATTCATGACAAAAAATGTAAATTGTATATCTTTATGTTTGAAGCCTGAAATGTGGCGAAATGTTGAAAGGTTCAAGGGGGCCGAATACTTTCGCAAGGCACTGTACATTCAGACCTATTCTGCATGTTTTTAGTGGTAGGGGAAACCGGAGCACCCGGAGGAAACCTACGCAGACACGGGGAGAACATGCAAACTCCACTCAGAAAGGCCCTGTTCCGACCGGGATTCGAACCCAGGACCGTCTTGCTGAGAAGTGAGAGTGCTATATCCACTCAACCACCGTGCCGCCCAATGATCACAAATTATATTATCCTTTTTTTTTTTTTTTACTGAAAGTTCACTCACAAGTAATAGACAACTTTGAAGTGAAAGAAAAATTATACATGATTGTTATTTTTTCGAAAAATAGAAACCAAAAAGTTGGGCATGAACAAGTATTCATACAGCATCCATATCCCAGGCTATTCCTACAATCTTCCCTGTCCCTGCTGAAGAAAAGCAGCAGCGTAGCATGATGTTCCCTCCATATTTGACACTGGGGATGGTGCAGTGTACGATTTGAGCCAAGAAGTTGAATTTTTGTCTCCTCTGACCAAAGCCCCTTCTTCCTCATGGCAGCTGTGTCCCCAATCTGACTTCTGACAAACAAGATTTCTTATGGCCTCTTTTCAATAATGACTCCCTTCTTGCCACTCAGCCATAAAGGCCAGGGTCAACACTAGATCATATACGGAATCGGGACGGAAGCGGGAGTAAATATAACAAAATACTATTCATGCCATTCCCATAAAATAATCCCAACCCAGCCTTAACCCTAAACTTAACCATCTTACTCAGACGCTTAAAACTTAACCAGTCACCACTTAAGGACTTTTTAGTCTAAAACTAATTCGAAAGTAGGATTGTTACTTCCGGTTTTGTCCCGATTCCGTATATGATCTAGTGCTGACCTAAAGGCCAGTACCGTGCAGCACTTCCTGAGTCTTCTTGGAGCACTTGGTTCTGACCAGTCCTTGTTCTGTTAGTTTATGTGGACAGCTTTTTGTAAGTTTGCAGCGGTGCCATACTCTTTCCATTTCCAGATAATAAATTGAACAGTGCACAGTAAGATGTTCAATTCTTGGGAAATCTTGATACAACTTTACTTTTAACACCTTCGTCACTGACCATGAATACATGTCGTTTTCTGACCATAGCACCGAGGCCCTCACAGAACAGCTGCATTTATTCTGAGAGCAGATTACACACAGGAGCCCAGAGGTGCGGACCTTCAGCAGTCATTAGGAATGTTTCAACTGCAATTTAAAATCTGTATGAAGACTTATGCAGGCCCAACTTTTTACTATATTTTTAAAACAAAATCAGAATCATGTCTTATTTTACTTTCACAATAGTCTGTTACTTGAGTGTTGAACTTTCAGTAATAAATAAATAAAATTATCATATGTCTATGGTTGTAAACATGGCAAAATGTGGGAAAGTTCTAGCTGTATTGATACTTTTGAGAGGCAGGAACTGGAACTAGTTTCAGAAAGTTACCCCAGCTTTAAAGGAGGGTGGGTGAGAACAGTGAGAACAGGGGGATGCTTCTAAACTTGTAATCATGGTTATATGAGCAGTATATGACTAGTATATTATAATCTTCAAAATATGGCAACAAATCATTTGAATTTAAGTTTTAGTGTGAAGTGCGAAGTGAAGAGAATGGATAGATGGATGGACACATGATTAAAAGTCTACTGGGACATTTTAAGTGGAAGGAAACGATAAACAAAGTAGAGAGTAGAACGAAAGATCAATAAATAACAAAAAACAACATCCACGGGGTGACAGTAGCTCAGTTGGTAGAGCATTGACCTTTGAGCCTAAAGGTTGTGGGTTCGAGTCCACCATAAGACCTACTTCACGACTCCCACTCATGACTGCTGTCGTTGGGTGCAGCTCAAAAAAAGATCCAGACTTTTTTAATGTGAATGAATGGATTTATTGTGTACGTGTGATTGGTTGTTGAATGCTTAACTATTCAGTGAACGGGCAGTAAGAAGCTACACATGTCATAAACGCGCTGTGATGAATATCTAGTGATGCAAAGTGTTGAAGAGTATTTTACGCCATAGCTACCTCCATTCTGCAGTGAGCGCTGGAACCACGTCAGGAAGCGTCGCCACACGGAGGTCATCTCTGCACAACACACCCAGTTAGAACACCCACGATGTTGTATTATACTACTGAGTTAGAATCAACACAACGTAATGTTCGGTTCAGCGGAGGAAAAATACACGCAAAAGTCCAGTCCAAGACTCCAAGGGTCAAGCACTGATTTAAGTTCCGGAGGATCAGTCAGAGACAATAGACATGTCTGCAGCTTCAGCTCCTGCACTGATCCACCTCAAACCCACCTCAAAGTATGAAGAAACAATGTGTGTTTATGTCCTTCTGAAACATAAAACGTAGGACAAAATGAAATAGGAGGAAAAGAAGACCTGTGGATTAGAAGGCTACCGCTAATGCTGTGTAGTTCATGTTATCGCCGCTAGGGGGAGACAGAGTGTAATGTCTAAGGCTTTTCCCATCACCACTATCTAGTAAAGCGCTTCAATCTATTTTATGATATCAAAGCAGTATTCTGAGCTTTAGTCTTTTAGGTTTTTTTTATTTAAATGGCTGCTAAAATCCATTTAAAAAATATGAAAAAAATAAAAAATAATACTTTGTCTGTGGAAAGTATCGTGGATTCAATTCTAAAAATGCAGGTGGGTCTAAGGACATTTATGAACATGGTCATCCCGCTCCCTGCAGTCTATGATATGGACCATAGACACATGTTAGTTTGTTATTTATTTTATTCTCTGTATTTGAACTGTTTGCTTCACTGTTCTGTTGGCTATTCAACAACTTTGTAACGTTGTTAATTGAGACCACTGCTGTTGTGATTAAAGGCCATATACAACTTAACTGAATTGCCTAAAGGGTTCAATTAGGAGCATTGAATCGTATGGGATTTATCATGAGTTTTATTTTTCCAGACAACTGCAGTGAAGGTACAATGCTTTGCTCTGAGGTTCCACCCACCCCTTGTGGGCAGAGTTTAAGATGCTCCCCTCTGGCCGCAGATATAGCTCCACTAAATGCACAACTTTCAGATTTAAGAACTCTTTTATCCCTCTTGCCATTGGTATTTTAAACAGATCACTGTAATTCTGCTGTGTATATGTGCACAGTACCTTTCTGCTGCTGCGACCAAAATGCCCCCGGGTATAATAAAGACACCTTGAACCTTCCGGACCAACCCTGGCTCAACATGTGTCTGTACCTCTGCAGACTGATTCTGGTCAGAAATTGGCTACTTCAATAATCCACAAATAATTTTTTTGTTTTATGATTTTATTGGCATGCATACTAACAGGATTCTTTTTGCATTTTCCACTTACTCAACAATGCAACGACTTTAATTAAAAACATGATGACAAGTCTACTCTTTGGCAACACGTGCTGATGTACACAATTCTAACTTTGACATTTTTAAACACAGCAATGCCGCCACAAAATAAACTAAAATCTTTAGTGCCACTAGTAGATCAAAAAACTTCATGAAACGCAAAGCAGTAAATTTAAAATACATCTATGGCGCTTGGACTGTCTCAAAAATTGGTTAGATCGTGATTATAGAAATGTAAAAAAGTAGTAATGCTGAATGTGTTGCACTCTCTCTTATACAGTTGAAAAATAATACGTACTTTATTTTTAATGAAAATAGGAAGAAAAGCAAAAAAATCAGAAATTGAAATGGGGTCAACATGGTAGAGAAATAACATACGTGATCCATTTTCCCCCGGTTCACCTGTTCCTCGTAAAACGTTTAAAATCTTTAAAATATTAACATTGTAATTTTGCTGCGTATAAACTATAAAAGATTTTTCTAAAAACTTAACCAAGAAGCTCAGAACAATTTTCATCTTTGGAGTTGCTGAAGAAATATGTTAGTGAGAGTGGTTTACTGCCACTTTTAACTTCAACTTTGGAGCTTTCAGATTTCACTTTCTTCAAACCTGCCGTTTTCTTCTTTTGGAGTTCCTAAAGAAAACAAAACAAAATCACCATTACCCAATATATCCGGCGTAGCGAGTATAATAACGTTTTTTTACAGGTTTGGTTTGATGTTTGCTGCTTTCCACAGAATCATAAAGCTGCAAAATCTGCAAACACAAAGACAGTTCTGGAAGTTAAGCTTAACAATCGTTTCTTAACATTGAAATGCAGCAATGACCTTTTTCACTCCTGTTGAAACGGCTGCTTCCAGGAGAGCTGATCGACCGAACCACTGAGCGTTCTCACAGAGGGGCTCACAGTGCTGCTCTTCTAAACACATGCTGGACACTTCATACGTCTGATGGATGTGTGAGAAGATGTGGACCACCTGCAGAGACACCGTAGTCGTCCATGTGGGTGAATTACAGCCTGTTATACTAAAGGTAAACGTGCACTTTATTGATCCCCGTAGGGAGATTTGTCTTCTGCATTTGACCCGTCCTGATGCCACTAAGGCTGAGGAGCAGTGGTCGCCGTAGTGCAGCACCCGGGAACCCATCTCCTGCTGCATGTTAATTATGTGTGGGAGCAAAACATATTAAAACATGTCCGACTTCCATGTTTGTAGGGAATCTTTAACGATGCTGTTCTCTATATTATGATCGTCTATGACCCACATGGCTCTTTATGAATTATGTGGTTCATATCCAGGCTATGCTCACACTTACAGGGCAGCCGTCCTCCTGTGGACTCACCACCTGCAGAGGATCAGTGAGGGGCTGGTGCTATGAGACTTGGGTGCAACTCTGACTGCCACCCGCCCGACCCAGAAATGGATTAAGCGGAAGAAAATGGATGGATGGCTCGACCTTAAAGATACAGTAAGCGATTTTGTTAGCTTAGCTGTAGCACCAACTCGAAACCACTCCCCCCCTCGCCTCTCCACCAAACCAAACATCCAGCATTTTCTTATCTTTGTCACAACAGGGAGAGTGAAGCAAATGTGAACTTGACATTTTCAGTTCATTTTAGGTTTTAGAAAATCCGATAACTTGGGTGCACTCGCGAGAAACAGGAAGAGGGCGAAGGAGAGATTTGTCCTCTGCATTTGACCCATCCTGATGCCACTAAGGCCCAATCCCAATACCCACACTGCACACTACACTCCTCTACGAAGTGTGCATTTGTCTGAAGTGCACGCAAGGGTTTGAGTGGCAGGTTACAAGCAAAAAAGACGGAAACATTGAGTGCAGGTGACGTCATCGACTCGTCAAGAGATGGACATTTTCAGACCTAAACTTTGTTAAAATTAAAAGGTAATTTTGTCTGACCCTGTGGGAAACAAAATGAGTTGCTCCACACACGATAAAATAAATGTATATTGGTTATTTGTAAATTGAGATAGCTGTATAATTTTAAGTTAAATGTGGGTGACTAACTGTTATCTGGTGAGTTTTTATACATCCTAAGATTCAAGATGGCGCCTCGTACGGTCGACATGGCTCTTTGCTGCTCTCTTTTTCTTTTGTTTTTACTTTTTAACTGTGCATCTGGCTGTTCCTACACCCGTGAGGAACTTATGAACATCCGACCCACCGTTCCCATGGACCTATTGCCTGTTTTCTTGGCATCTGCGGCTGATTTAGTTCATGTTCTAGCCAAAAAAGTGTGGGCCCGTAAAAGGGGAAAGCGAGGAGGCCTGCTCGTGCGTCTTAGGAGGAGAGGAGCGCGCACGGCTCTCCCCGGCATTTTTCTCTCCAACGTACGCTCACTGGGCAATAAGATGGACGAACTCAGCCTGCTCATGAGAAGAAACAAGGACTTCGCCACATCCTGTGTCCTCTGCTTCACTGAGACCTGGCTAAATGAGCGGATCCCGGACTGCGCTCTGGAGCTGCAGGGCTTTGGGCTGTTTCGCGCGGATCGCCATTGTGCGCTCTCAGGGAAGAGCAGAGGCGGAGGGCTCTGTTTCTACGTCAATACAAACTGGTGTAACGATGTGACAGTGATCTCCAAGCACTGCTCTCCTGCTCTGGAATATCTTTTCATTCATTGTAAACCATATTACTCCCCGCGGGAAATTGTTTCATTCATTCTTGCCTCTGTTTACATACCGCCATGCGCGGACGCGCGCGAGGCTCAGCGCGCACTCGCAGAGCAAGTACTGTGTATGGAACGCTTATACCCGGACTCTCTGATTATTATCCTGGGGGATTTTAATAAGGGAAACTTGAGCCAGGAATTACCCAAATACAGACAGTTTATCAAATGCCCGACCAGAGAGGAGAACACTTTGGATCACTGTTACACCACCGTGCGCGGAGCTTTTCGCGCTGTTCCCAAGCCAGCCCTCGGCTTCTCAGATCACTCCATGATACATCTGGTTCCTGCTTACAGACAGAGACTAAAGCTCTCGAAACCTGCAGTGAGGAGCTCCAAAGTGTGGTCTGATGAAGCTGTGGAAGAGCTGCGCGCATGCATGGAATCTACAGACTGGGACCTTTTCAGAGCTGCCACAGATAGTTTGGATGAATATACGGACACTGTAACGTCATACATCCACTTCTGTGAGGATAGCATCATTCCAACAAGGACCAGGGTCATCTATAACAACGACAAACCCTGGTTCACTGCTAAACTCCGGCAGCTCAGGAAAGCAAAGGAGTCTGCTTTCAGGGAGGGGGACCGCAGCGGCTACAAAGCAGCTAAATATCAGTTCAGGAAAGAACTGAAAGCAGCCAAGTCCCGGCACAGAGAACGACTACAGGAGCAGTTTGGTAACAACGATACTGCTTCTGTCTGGAGGGGCCTACGGGAGATCACCAACTACAAACCCAAAGCCCCCCCCTGTGCTGATGACCACAAGCTAGCTGACGATCTGAACTTATTTTTCAGTCGCTTTGATGCTGCCCCTGACACCTCTCCCTCCCCCACCCCCCACTACTCTAACGACCCACCCATCAGCCCTGCCCCTAGCCTAACAATAGCCGCTAAAGAGATTAAACAACTCTTCCTGAGGCTGCACCCCCGCAAAGCTCCTGGCCCGGACCACGTGTCTCCGGCCACTCTGAGACACTGCGCCAGTGAGCTTACTCCTGTGTTCACGGACATTTTCAACTCCTCTCTGCAGTCCTGCCATGTCCCGGCCTGCTTCAAATCCTCCATCATTGTCCCCGTCCCGAAGAAGCCCAGGATCACAGGACTCAATGACTACAGACCTGTAGCACTTACGTCTGTCGTCATGAAGTCATTTGAACGCCTGGTTCTCTCCCATCTCAAGTCCCTCACCTCCCCCCTCCTGGACCCCCTGCAGTTCGCCTACAGAGCCAACAGATCTGTAGACGACGCCATTAACCTGGCCCTCCACCACATCCTACAGCACCTGGACTCCCCGGGGACCTACGCCAGGGTCCTGTTCGTGGACTTCAGCTCTGCCTTCAACACAATCCTGCCATCCCTGCTCCAGGACAAGCTCTCCCAGCTCAACGTGCCCGATTCCACCTGCAGGTGGATCACTGACTTCCTGACGGACAGGAAGCAGCGAGTGCGTCTGGGGAAGAATGTCTCGGACTCTCGGATTATAAATACAGGAGCCCCACAGGGCTGTGTTCTTTCTCCCCTGCTCTTTTCCCTGTACACCAACCACTGCACCTCCAGCCACGACTCCGTGAAGCTGATCAAGTTCGCGGACGACACCACCCTCATTGGACTCATCTCCAACAACGATGAGTCCGCCTACAGGAGGGAGGTGGACCGGCTGGTGTCCTGGTGCAGTGGTAACAACCTGGAGCTGAACGCCCAGAAGACAGTGGAGATGATTGTGGACTTCAGGAAGAGCACTGTCCCCCCGCCCCCACCCTCCGTGATGGACTCCCCCATCACCTCTGTGGAGTCCTTCCGTTTCCTGGGCACCACCATCACCCAGGACCTCAAGTGGGAGCCGACCATCAGCTCTCTCATCAAGAAGGCCCAGCAGAGGATGTACTTCCTGCGGCAGCTCAGGAAAGCCAAGCTGCCTGCACAGATGTTGGTGCAGTTCTACACGGCCATCATCGAGTCCATCCTCACCTCCTCCATCACCGTGTGGTTCGCTGGAGCCACAGTCAGGGACAAACAGAGACTACAGCGCATTGTGCGCTCTGCAGAGGAAGTGATCGGCCGCAGCCTTCCATCGCTGCAGGACCTGTACGTCGCCCGAGCTCGAGGCCGGGCTGGTCGTATCACAGCCGACCCCTCTCACCCTGCACATGGACTATTCCAACCACTCCCCTCAGGCAGGAGGCTGCGGTCCATCAGGACTAGAACCTCCCGCCACAAGAACAGTTTCTTCCCCTCTGCTGTTGGACTCTTGAACACTTCTTAACCTGTCCCCCCGCCCTTTATAAAGTCACTTTACTGCCCATCATACGTCACTTTACTTCACTGTACTGCTGTCACCTTACATTGTGTGCACCATGTGCACTTGTATATTGTAAATAGTAACTGTAACTCTATTTTAAATTTAAATTTATTCTTTAGAAGTGTTTTTTATTCTTATTTTTATTATCTCTTTTTGACTGTTGCACTGAGCCAAAGCAATTTCCAAGTCTGTGACCTCCCGTTACTTACGTTGGCAATAAAAATGATTCTGATTCTGATCTGATTCTGATTCTGATTCTGAAGTTTATTGTACTAAGTGTAAAGTTTAAATTGAATGTTTTATGAAAGCTTGCGTTAAAAAGTTATTAAATTGTTAAAATACAATGTCCGTGATTCTTCATCAGACGTTTATGCTTCTTTCCAAGTAACATAGAAAAACTTATTTACACATATACAGCATATATACATTTCAAAACTTACATTTAAATGCATTTACCCGACGTTAGAGCCCAATGATCTAGATTCAGAATCCGGCCCTAATTATTTAGTTACAGAAGAATACAGCGAGTTAGTAGCACTGTACTTACAGATTGGGGCTTCTCGTTCGCGTCTTTTATCGTGAGAATAACACAGGTTTCCAGGTCAGTTTCAAGGTAACCGTCGTTCTGGAGACGGACTTTAGTGAAGTGTCACTCGCAGTGGATTTCAGAGGCAGATCCTCGTGAAAATAAGTGCAGCCACATTTGTCTTTGGACTTTGGGTCATCCTCGTCATCGATTTTGTTTGTCATAGATGTTGTGTTTGACGCCTATCGCTCCCTAAACTAACCCTAAACTAAATCTTGAGGGAGTCAATGAAAAAACTACTTTGAACATGTGTATGTTGGCCAAATAGCACTGCAATGATGTGTAGAGAAAAGTCAAAAAGGTAATATGGGACTTTTAAGTCATTAATTAAGTTGTTTAACTTGGCAAAACATGCAGTGTTTCAGATAGGGAACAAGTTTATTGTTCTGGACGGTGTACCAGGAGCAGTGTTGGGCACGTTACTTTGAAAAAGTAATTAGTTATAGTTACTAGTTACTTCTCCCAAAAAGTAACTGAGTTACTAACGGAGTTACTCCACTATAAAAGTAACTAGTTACCAGTAAAAGTAACTATTGCGTTACTTTTTCGTTTTGTTCTGGAACATAATGTGCACCCGACGTGCGCATTTTTACCTTTAACAGTGCCAATATTTCCATCTAGAAAAGGCTGTTTTGCTGAAGTCCTGTTCACTCTTCATCTGTCTCTGTGCTGTAAGCACTAAACACCAACACCCTCCACTGTGAATGTGGAAACACCGGTGAAGCACTGACTTCAGCCCAATCAGATGAACATATACATCATATAAATCAAGTGGACAATTTGTTTGGCTACAGCAAAATATGTTTCATGCCCGCATTGTTTGTTCAAACAAAACGCAAAACTATGAGTTATGGGTCTTACCTTATAGCTATACCTTATAAATGACCTGCACAGTCCACTTCGGTTCAGACCAGTCCCTTGTTTAAATCCAGTGAATGGTTTGAGCGTAGATATGTAATCCTCCATTTGGAAATGAGTCCAATGAGTTTTAAAAAGTAAAACAAAACGCATGTGTCCTCCATAAACTCCTCTGTTTTGCTAGGTGCAGCCGGGTGTATCCAATTTCTAAAAACAACCGTCTTACACTTCACCTCTCTTTATAATTCCTATAGTAATTGCTAAATTACCCTATGTGCATTTTAGATTATGTAAAAATGTGTTATATGTATGTTAGCCAAACCTGTTGCTGTCCTTAGCAGATAAACCAGGAAGAGCAAGGAGCTTATCGATGGAATTGTATGCAGCCGACTTCTGCGCTCACATGCGCTCCTCTGTGGCTGACCTCACGGTGATACAAGCCGTGGTTGAGCGCGATTAAGACCAATATTTGTTTCAAAAACACAATTTATGAGCCATCCTCTCAACTGTAGACATGTAGATTGTAAAGGAAATATGTTTTACATCAGCCAATAACATCTGAGAGGTTTTCTCATCCTCCCTTCTCTCATGACAACACGTTCATTGTGCGTCTTGAGTAACGCGCAGTAACGGGATGTCGGAAATGATAACGGCGTTATAGTTACTGTCAAAGTAATTAGTTAGATTACTCGTTACTGAAAAAAGTAACGGCGTTAGTAACGCCGTTATTCCCATCACTGACCAGGAGAACATGGAGGAGTCATGTTGTTTTGAGCGTCTTATCTCACTTCTCTTATAGCAACTGTACAGAACCAGAAAAAAGTGGAAAATCAGCTCTTTACCTCTCCCACAAACTGAATGAGGTCCTCAGAAGGGCTCTTTCCCAGTATTCTGCAAATCTCATTGCACAACAGCACCCTCTTCTGGTCAACATCAACATTTTCTATTCTTGAGAGACAAGGAAACTGCCACATCCCCGCCAGCAAACCTAGAACAAGCAAAGCAAATATAAATGTTAAGAATAAGATAAACAAAGTATTACACAATATGAACATGATAAAGTGAGCTCTATCATTTAAAACAAATACAAAAAGTGTCTTTACATCTCCACATGGAAATGTGTTTACATGTTCCCTGAGGAGACATGAACCTCACAGCTGTCACAAAGCTCAGCTAGTCTTCTTCGTAACCATGACCTTATATCAAATGTTTTTTTAGTGGTCATTCCAATTATAATCACACTTTTGTTGGAGTTTAGCTATAAAAGACACAAACGCTGTATTGTGTCTGAGTGCTTTTTTTTGGATCTGCTTTCAGATAATTGGGGATATTTTTCTATTCAAGTTTACCTAAAACACATGTACCCCGAATGAGAGCCTCTTTCTGCTCTCTGATTAAATAATCTGTTTGAAAAGTACAAACAAACATAGACATTTTAGTCATGTCAATTTTCAACTGAAAATAAACTTTTGTTCAGACAAGGCCGGGCGGCACAGTGGCTGAGTGGATAGCACTCTCGCCTCTCAGCAAGAAGGTCCTGGGTTCGAATCCTGGTCGGACCAGGGCCTTTCTGAGTGGAGTTTGCGTCTCCCCGTGTCTGCGTAGGTTTCCTCCGGGTACTCCGGTTTCCCCTACCACTAAAAATATGTCTAGCATGTGCCTCCTGTACTGGTGACCCCGCTCCCATCTCTGTGTGGAGTGAGAGACAATTGCCCAAAATTAACAATTGTAAACCGCTTTGAGACCCAGATCTGCAGTGAAAAGGCGGTATATAAATAAAGATTACTTAAAGATTACTTAAATACGATTTGTACAGCTCCTCTGTAAATACATCGGAATCAGGCTAGTTTTAATTCGTGCCTAGATCCGATTTGCAAGTGATTGCAAGATTGAATGAATACAGTATGTGCTGTTCTGACCTTTGTTGGGTCTTTGTGTGAGCAGATACTGGTCCTGTCCCTCTCTGCTGCGTCTGACCACACAGGTGAGAGTCCTCTCCACTCGCGGGGGCTTCTTCGATGGTTTTCTGGGAAAATTCGTTACCCCAAGTTCATTTTCCCAGGGCTCCAATGGACAAAGTGAGCATGCATCGCTGCTCACTAAAAGAAATTAAAACATGAATATTGTAATAAATTGAATTTCCAAAATATATTGATTGATAATGGATGCTTACCACACTCCTCTATGTCAGGGACAGCAGATCTTTTTCTTGTCTTCCCCACAAGCTTATTCGTGTTTTGTTCTGGAGTGTAATTGACCTATTTAAATTATACACCAAATTGAACAAACATGAACAAGACACTCTTTTAAAGCTATAAATGAGCGTTACAATTTCTCCAAGTGTGCACCTTTTGATAGGAATGGCAGTGGGTCTGTATGGGACACTTGTGGCAGAAGAGAGCCTTAGGAGTGCAAATGCAAGCCCCCAACTCCATCATGGCCTGGTTAAAATCTCCAGGTCTGCTTGGGTCAACTAGCAAATTAACTATCTCCCTACAGACGAGAAAGACAATATTAATAATTTAACTAAACAAATTCAACTGTATGTCAAGAAATTACAATTCTACAAATTTACAGAAATATGGAGGTTATAAAAGCATGTGGGATATGGCAGAAAATGGATGGATAAAAACATGAGGTAAAAGCAACACACACAAAAATCAAAGAATATACTGTACTAGACAAAGACCCAAGACTGTCTGACACCTACTGACCCAACAGTGCTCATATGCCATTTTTTGAGTGGGAAAACAAAATTTGCATCATTTATATAGGCATTTTAAAATTCACTTAGTGCACTGCAGCATTGTTGTATTAAAGCTGCACTAACTGACTTTATTTTTGTATTAATTACGAAAAAGCTATCCATGTCCATGCAGTGCATTGGGATATTCGTCCTTTTGAAGAAAAAGTAGCGCAGATTTTGGCTGGCGTGACATTATATTTTAGATCGAGTTTTGATGAAACAAGGAAGAGAATGTGTTTTGGGTCGCAGATAGTGACCAATCACAGCGCACCACTAGCCCCCACTTTTGTGAGAAATCTACAGGTCCGTTAGCACAGACAGCTGAGTTAGCACAACAAGCGGCGGAGCTAACCTGAAACTTCGTGTGTCTTCGTCACTGGTTACTGCTTACACAGCGAGACAGCCATCCAAAAGAAAGTCTCGTTCCTCCGCGCTTCCCGGTTCTATCATTCTATGGCCATGCCATCCACGTGCAAATACATATGCATTTATTTATCCATATTGGGAGACACTAGCTCCGTCCCAACAGTGGGTGTGTGTGGGGGGCGATAGCTTCGTGGGTGCGGGGAGGGGAGCAGAAAGAGAGAGGCCGGCGAGTCCGCGGCTTCAAAATCCCAAAGTCAGTTAGTGCAGCTTTAAGGCTAATGGGTTAAGGCTGCTGGTTCTATGCCACAGACCTCTTTAATGTTGTTCAATTATAGCTCACTGCATGTGAATATGGGAGGGGGCAGGGGGTCTGATAGAGAGCTTTGACAGGGACAAAATGAGAGAAGGAAATGAGGGAGGTCTGGAGTCAAGGGGCAAGGGTTTCCATGCAATGGTATTACCACAAGGCCTCTATCACGGTTGGACTTGTGCTATCGGCTCCAATTGCTCGTAATCGACATAAGACACGGATTACATTTCCATCGACGACTCCTGCAACCTAAAATTACAAATTAAATCCAAGGACATAACCAAACATCATCATGAACATGTGTTGTTGCTCATGAACTGACCTGCCCCAGTGCTATGGAGCCTATAGCAGCTGCAGTGTAGCGCCCAACCCCGGGCAGGCGCTTCTGAAGGCTGTCCACCGTCTGAGGCATCTGTCCATTCAACTCCAAAACCACCTACGGCCAAGTGCATGTTGTGTGAAAAGGTGCTGCTTTTATTCCACAAAAGATATAATTCAGCCAAATAAAACCTTTTGAGCTCCTTCATGAAGTCGTCTGCCCCGTGAATAGTAGCCAAGCCCCGCCCACATTTGGTTCACTTCCTGAGAAACATAAAAGTTACATTATAATGAAGAGTAAGCATTCAATTCTGTCGCCTGGTACCTCTAGAGTGGCAGCTGCTAGGTCCTTTACGGTTGGCCATCGCTAAAAGAAGGCAGAACAAACTGATTTAGTTGTGACATTATAAAAGCAAAAACAAAATACCAACAACTTACTTTTATCCATTTGTTATAGTAATCAATAACAGTTACAACTTGAGTCTGCTGTAGCATGATTTCAGACACCCACACTGGAAAATAAAAGACCATGACTTTTTTATAGCCTCAAAATATGGAAACAGTTATAAAAACTCAAACCTGCATATGTCCTGATGTTCAGGTCTTCCTCTGTTATCGCCTTTGGAAGAACATTTAATTTATTATCATTATATATTCAATTTGTGGATGTGTATTTGGAGTCATTGGGATCTAATCGTCAATACTGTGTGACGATCGATTTTTCGATATATCGCGATACTTTCTCTCGCGATCGATGATCAATATGCATTTGCCAAGTATCGGGAAAAAAAAAAAATATTTTTTTATTTATTAGTATCAATACTCAATAATATGGCTACATTACACATCTGCATTCCATTTAATATGAAATAAAGTGTATTTTTTCTCTTACATTTTTCTATTTTATGTATGCAATATACTGGCATATGGTATATTGCTGACCAATATATAAATAATCGTCATATCGTGATATAATCGTTATTGTGAGCTTTGTATCGCGTATCGTATCGTGAGGTACCCTTAGGTTCCCACCCCTACTGTATATATTATCTACTGTTAGTATTGTCACTGTTTTTATGATCATATAGTTTTATTGTTATTTTTGCTGGTTTATTTCTCACATACCTTCTTCTTTGTCTCATTCCTCATGTTTTCTTCAAATCTGTAAATTGGCAGTCAATATTTTCCTTTTGCATGTTTGTATGAATGTATGTACGCATGTCTGTCTATATAAACATTAATACAAAGAACAGGTCAATACATGTACCCACCAGAGTCCTCCATGGCAGCTCCCTTTTCTCGTCGTCATACCACTTTAAAAGGTTGGAGCGTAACGAAACCACTTCAGCTGCATCAGGAAAACTATGGTACGATGGAAGGGAAGCATTCTCTACAAATGTAAATGTAAGTTGTAAAAAATAATTAATGGATTAATATTGTATTGATCAGCAACATTTCAAAACTTACATTATGGAGAGCAATTCGAAATGTATGTGCAGAATTAAAACAAAATATTCTCAATGATTTAACGATGTACTTTAAATCAAGGTGTGTTCATGTCATATATTTGTTCTGCTACGTAAAGGCAGATAACAGACAGCATCATCAACAAACCTTTTTTTCCTGCTGGTTTCGCTCGTTTGCCCTTTGCATGTTGGTTTCTTGTCATCTTAACTGTTGAAGCGTAAAAAGCGTCTCTAATTATGCTGTGAATGAACGTTTGATCAAGAGAACAGCGACATGTGTGTTTACTCCACGTTTCCTCTCGCCAGGCGGAAGACGCTCGGCTGTCGACCAATCACATCAGCGTAAAGTTGTAAACAAGGAAGTGAGCCAATGGATGTAGAGCTTGGATCAATATTTACAGTCTATGGGCATGGATGTATAATAATATCTCTACGGTAGCCTGGGTTTAGCCATCCGTAAACTCTGGTCAATTATTGTTTCCCTACATGTACGTTATGAACTTAGTACGATGGTATGTGTCTGTAATGTAAAGGGTGCATTACGTAGTTAATACATTATATATAGGACGTAACGCGAGAGTTCGATGTTAGACAGACGAGATCTGAAACATGTAAGCAGCATGATATATATGCGAGTTGTTAATAAAGCAGACAAGTCGAATTCAGTAAGCTGTGTCGGCCAACAGTTTATTTGACATGGTGTCAGAAGTGCTCTAGGAGAGAACACACGCACAGAAATGGCAAAGTTCAAGCCACCGGAAAACTTCAACTTTGAGAAACCGGGAGAATGGCCGTCGTGGAGACAGAGATTCGCACGATTCAGGTCAGCTTCCAAGCTAAGCCTCGAGGATGCCGACGTCCAGGTTAGCACGTTAATTTACGCAATGGGCAACGAAGCCGAAAATATTTTCAAGACTTTTACCTTCACGGAGGAAGAAGACGAAAATGATTATGAGACTGTCTTGGAAAAGTTTGATGAGTATTTCATACCCAAACGAAACACAATACATGAAAGGGCATGCATTTACCAAAGGCAACAGAAACCAGGGGAAATGGCGGAGACATTTATCCGAGCCCTGCACGAACTGAGTGAGAACTGTGAGTTTGGCGATAAGAAAAATGAACACATAAGAGACAAATTGGTCGTTGGGATAAGGGATAAAGACCTGTCCAGAAAATTGCAATTAACTTCGGATTTAACCCTCGAAAAGGCAGTGCTTATGGTGAGGCAAGCTGAAGAGGTAGCACAACAGATAACCCAGCAAGAGCAGCAGGCTCCACTGGCGGTGCAAGCAGTGAAACAAAAGAGGTTCGTGAAGAAAGGAGGGAAACCGCAGGGAGAGAGGAGCGGAGGACAGCGGCACGGCTACCAAGGGGAGAGCAAGTGCAATCGGTGCGGTAAAGAAAAGCACCAAAATGCAGCCAAATGCCCAGCAACGGATTCCGAATGCAGGAAGTGCGGGAAGAAGGGGCATTGGGAAAGAAAATGCTTCACAAAGACTGTGAGGGAAGTTAACCAAGGAAATGATGAGGACGAAAGCTTCTATCTTGGTGCAGTGAGTAAACAAAAACAAAGCAGTGCAGAGCAATGGACTGAGCAAATTCACATAGGGTATACACCAGTGAAATTTAGAATTGATACAGGTGCTGACGTCACGGTAATGAACATGGAAACATTCAAGGCACTCAAACCAGAAAGAAAGCTGGAGCCACACCATGGCCCATTAGAGAGTCCAGGAGGAACATTGGACATTATGGGACAATTTACAGCTAGCACATTACATAAACAGAGAAAGCACATATTCAATATATATGTGGCTAGAGGGCCTACAGTTAATAACTTACTGGGCAGAGATACAGCAGTGGAGATGGGGCTGGTTAAGCGAGTACAGCAGGTGAAGGCAGCAGCCGTCCACCAGGGCACGATGAAGACCGACCCGGTGAAGATACACCTACGTGACGACGCCGTGCCACACGCCGTACACACAGCCAGGAGAGTCCCACTGCCACTCCTTTCGAAAGTCCAAGCTGAGCTACAGCGCATGGAGGAACATGGCGTGATTGTCAAAGTGACACAACCGACAGAATGGTGCGCGCCAATGGTGCCAGTCCTGAAGCCGTCAGGCGCCGTCAGAATCTGTGTAGGGCTCCAGAAGCTGAATGAGAACCTGAAGAGAGAAACTTACCAGCTACCTACCACAGATGAGACGCTGGCTAAGCTGGCGGGCTCCACCGTGTTCACATCCCTCGACGCTGCCTCAGGCTTTTGGCAGATACCGCTTCACGAAGAAAGCAGAATTCTAACCACATTCATCACACCTTTCGGGAGGTACTGTTTTACCCGCCTTCCGTTTGGGATTAATATAGCCCCAGAGATATTCCAGCGCAAAATGCATGAGCTGCTAGATGGCCTGGAAGGAGTCGCAGGGTATATGGATGACGTGATTGTGCATGGAAAGGACAAGGCCACACATGACAGACACTTGCAAAGCACACTCGAACGTATGAAGCAAGTAGGCCTTAAGCTGAATGAAGAAAAATGTGTTTATGCACAACCACAGCTACGCTTCCTGGGCCACATCGTGGACGCCAACGGGGTTCGAGTGGACCCAGAAAAGGTGAGCGCCGTCAGAGAGTTGGATGCGCCCACCAATGTACATGAACTGAAGCGTGCATTAGGCATGATAAATTACATGAGCAAATACATACCAGACATGGCAAATGTCGCAGGCCCACTGTACGATCTCCTAAAGGGGAAGATGGCCTGGACCTGGGACCAGCCACAGCAGCGAGCGTTTCAGCGCTTGAAAGAAGCCCTCGTCACCTCGCCTGTACTGGCCCACTATGATCCACAGAGACCGACCGCAGTGTCAGCGGATGCGAGTAGCTACGGGATGGGAGGAGTCCTGCTCCAGCTGCACGGAGAGAGCTGGAAGCCTGTAGCGTACTGCTCCAGAAGATTAACGGACGCGGAAACCAGGTACGCTCAAATCGAGAAGGAATGTTTGGCAGGAGTTTGGGCCTGTGAGCGGTTCCAGAAGTACCTGGTTGGCATGGACAAATTTAGACTCATAACAGATCACAAGCCGCTGGTACCGCTGATAAACAGCAAAGACCTAGACGCGGTGCCTGTTAGGTGTCAGAGACTTTTGATGAGGCTTATGCGCTTCAATGCAAAGGCCGAGTACGCACCGGGCAAAACGTTGGTCATATCCGACGCACTGTCACGCAGCCCGCTGAAGGAGAGCTACAGCACTACGGAAGCAGTCATTGCGAGCCACGTGAACGCAGTGACACACAGCTGGCCTGTCTCACAAAGCAAGCTGGACCGGATCAGGACAGCCACGCAGGAGGACCCACAGCTCCAGCACGTGAGAAAGCTGATCAGGGATGGATGGCCCAAACGAGTGAGTAGCACTTCACACAGTGTTAGAGACTTCTACGACATGAGAGACTCACTGTCTGAATGTGAGGGCCTGATCACGCTGGGCTGTCGCATTGTAATCCCACAGGCCTTGAGACAGGAGGTGGTAGACCGCCTACACGAGGGACATCAGAGCCTGTCCAAGTGTAGAGAACGTGCTCAAGAGACTGTGTGGTGGCCCAAGATGTCAGGGGACATTAAAAGAAAAATTGACAAGTGCAACTTTTGTCTGACAAACAGACGCACTCAGCGCAGAGAGCAGTTACTGTCAACACCCCTGCCTGAGAGACCTTGGCAAAAGATAGCCACAGACATTTGTGAATACAAAGGAAAACAATACTTAGTAATATCAGATTATTACTCACGGTATCTGGAGATACTACACTTATCAACCACAACTACAGAACAGGTAGTGAGGTCCATGAAAGCAACATTCGCCAGGTTCGGAATCCCTGAGCTTTTAGTCAGTGATAACGGGCCCCAGTATACCAGTGATGCTTGGAAAGAGTTTTGCAGGCTGTATGACATTTAACATTCCACATCCAGCCCGCACAACCCACAAGGGAACGGGCATGCAGAGCGCGCTGTGCAAACTGCAAAGCGCATACTCAAGCAGGACGACCCACTATTGGCTTTAATGAGCTACCGCGCCACCCCCACCACATCCACAGGAGTGAGCCCGGCAGAAATGCTCATGGGGCGTAAGATTCGCACCACACTGCCATCTCTAAAGAAAAACCTCATTCCAATGCAGCCAAACCGTGACCTCATCCGTCGCCGTGATGAAGAAGCCAAACAACAACAGGCATTCTACTACAACCGGAGACACGGAGCGAGGGACTTGCCACCCTTGCACACAGGTGACCACATCCTGTCCAAGCTGGACGGGGAGAAGGTGTGGAAAGGTCGAGCATCGGTGCAGCAGGAGTGCGGCACGCCGCGCTCATACCAGGTGAAGTCGCCAGGAGGAGGAGAGATGAGGAGAAACAGGCGTCATCTTCAACAAGTGCCGCCACCGATGGAAGAGGAGAACACAGACTCTGGGCAACCTGCCACAGAGCTAGAGCAAGAAGCACCACAACACGGCTCTGACCAGGGACTGTGTGAGAGTAATGTTAAGAGTCCTACAGTAATACCAGAAGGACTGACAGTGACCAGGTTTGGTAGAGTTAGTAGACCTGTGAAAAGAATGGACATGTAGTTAAGCAACTCAGAGAACAGTGAATTTAAGTTTTATTAAGGATTTAAGTTAAGTTTGAGTTATTATTTACATTTAGAAGTAATCTGAGAAGTACAGTATTTTAAGGTTAATGGGTAAAGATAAGAAAGAAAAGCAGTAACTCTTTTAAGTTGTTTAAACTAACAGGTAATAAGGTTTACTAGTTATAAGTTTATGTTGTGACCCCATGTTATATAAGTATAATAATTTGAGGGGGAGATGTCAAGGTATCTGTAATGTAAAGGGTGCATTACGTAGTTAATACATTATATATAGGAAGTAACGCGAGAGTTCGATGTTAGACAGACGAGATCTGAAACATGTAAGCAGCATGATATATATGCGAGTTGTTAATAAAGCAGACAAGTCGAATTCAGTAAGCTGTGTCGGCCAACAGTTTATTTGACAGTATGGTAAGGCCAAGCTAAATCTATGGGCATGGATCTTTAAAAAAAAAAATAATAATAATAATAATACGAACTGGAGCGGTTCGTTCCAAAATAAAAATAATAATAATTAAGATTTAAAAAATGCTTTAACGAAAATATAAATTTATTCATATGGAATTAGAATTGTGCATTCTAAAATGTTAGTATTCCAGAGAAAAAAATCAAAATCTAAAAAAATATATCACGATTGTCCGAATATTTACCATAGGCAGTCTGAAATACATGTGTTTTCTGTGATGTGCAGATTTGATTACCATATTGTTTGTATAATAACTTTAAACAGACACTAACATATAGATAGATAGAGATAGATACTTTAGTATCCAGCAGCAGAAGACTAATCCAGGGTTGTTGTACAGTCTGAGAGCCAAAGGAAAAAAAAGGATCTCTTAAAACGCTCCGTTCGGCAAAACAGTGAAAGGAGCCTGTTGCTGCGATTGCTCGTCTGAGCGGCCACTTCACGATTGTGTCCCACGGCAGTCACAACTGATAATGCCAAAAATTAAATAAATGCAGTGAATGAGGCTGGACTGGGCCCAAAATGGACCCCCTCCTTGGGAGAATCAGGAAGGTGGTGTAATATATGAGGGTAAATATCCTCATAAAGTGCCTTCTTATGTTGCACTTTGTGTTGTTTTTCATTAATTATGTTAGACATAATTGGATGGATGGAATATGCCTTCCATCCATCCATCTATTTCCTTCCCCTTAATTCATTTCTAGGTCAGGGGGGTGGCAGTCAGAGCAGGTGCCGAGTCCACATGAGCTGTGTTTATTAAAAAGACAAAACTTTTTTTTAGAAAAATGAACCGAAAAATGAATCGAACCGTGGCCTCTGAACCGAGGTACGAACCGAACCGTGATTTTTTCAAACCGTTGCAGCCCTAGAATCAGCACCTCCAAATCCGAGGCCATGGTGCTCGACCGGAAAAAGGTGCCTTGCCCTCTACAGGTGGGTGGAGAGGTCCTTCCTCAAGTGGAGGAGTTCAAGTATCTCGGGGTCTTGTTCACGAGTGAGGGAAGAATGGAGCGTGAGATTGACAGGCGGATCGGTGCAGCGTGCGCAGTGATGCGGTCGCTGTATCGGACCGTTGTGGTAAAGAGGGAGCTGAGCCGAAAGGCAAAGCTCTCGATTTACCGGTCAATCTTCGTTCCCTCCCTCACCTATGATCATGAGCTTTGGGTAATGACCGAAAGAACGAGATCGCGGATACAAGCGGTCGAAATGAGCTTCCTCCGCAGAGTGGCTGGGCGCTCCCTTAGAGATAGGGTGAGGAGCTCGGTCACACGGGAGGAGCTCGGAGTA